TAGTACTTCAGAGTTGGGCCCTGAGGACAACTGCATGGTCCGTCTGGTACTTGAATCGTTGGATCCTCCTCCGACTCGGAAGCACCGGGACAGCCCGTCGTCTGTGGATATGGAAATGGCTTCGGAGGAGGCTTTACTGCTGGCTTCGGTGGCGGCTTGACAGGCGCCCAACCGAAGGGACTGAAAGCCCCGGGCTGACCGGGGGCAGCTGCGTGAGCGCCCGCTGCCGCTGCGGCCCCGCCTGGTCCGAATGACATGGGCGGACCGGGCGCGGTCGGAAGAGTCGTCGCTGCTGCCGCGGCCGCCTGAGCAGTGGCCGTCCCCGGCAACGTAGCTGCCATCGCCTCGTGTATGGTGGGTAGTAGTCCCGCCTGGATAGCGGCTCCAACTGCGCTCTCGTCTGCGGACGTGTCGGGAGCGCCCCCGCCACCGGGCCCAGCCTCGGTCTGAGCTGCTCCACGTAGCTGTCTGAGCCTCTCCTCGTTCAGCTCCTGAGCCACTGGCTTCTTCTTGGGACCCGCCTCTGCTGTCATAACAACAACCAGCATCACTGCAGCAACAACTTGGTTCATCGTCTCGATCGTTGCTGAATGCGAATTGTCTTGCCACTCGGTGTGTGGCACGTCTCGGAGATCGCTGAGAGTTGAAAAGGCTCGAGCCAAGAGTGGCTACGGATGCTACCAGCCCCAAGACTCTGCTGCTGTTGTTGTATTGGTTCTGCTGACTGCTCCTAGCCCCCCGGTTGGTCCTTGGTCTCTTGTGGAGCCTGACGATGTCCTTAGTTGACTGATGCGATCTAGCGATCGAGGCCTGCTGAGCCCCAGACTCGTACTTCCCGATGAGGCCGATCAGGGCCCCCATGACGACGCCCTGCCTGATCTTCCCGAGATGCCCGTTGCTGTTGATCCGCTTGCGCATGGCCCTCACGGACCTGTTCTTACCCCTGATGGTGTTGTTGTGGCCCCTTAGGGCCTGGGTGATGCTGATCGTGATAAGAGCTAGGATGAGGGAGGTGGCCATGTAACTCTTGATCTGCCCCATGACAGACATCACTTGCACAGGTCCCTTTTTGTATTGAAAAGCATCTGGAGTCAGATACGGAAAACTCTCGAGGGCAGACTGGGGCACGACTGAATCTGACAACTCCTGGATGATATCTACCATCCTGTGGCCGGACCCCAGCTTCGTCATCGGGATCTCTGCGCCCAACCGAGACGACTGCATGACATTGCTCGGCAAATCTATCACGCAGCCCAAGAAATCCAGAAGATTCACGCTGAGAATATGTGGAACTTCTTCGGCGAGAACTGTTGTCTCGACGATCCCAAGCACTCCTGCCACGCAGATGGGAAACAGAACAGCGCTCACTACTCTTGCAGCCCCCCCGACTCCGTGAGCGGCACGTGGTCGACGGAGGTCGGCTGGCACCTCCACGCACCTGACCCCGACCTCTGCTAGGGCACGAGCTTCCCGGTTGAGAACATTCACCCCCACCAGGTCGCTGCCCGCCCCGGGGTCGACCAGGCCCTGCACAGGACCTGTGACAATGAAGGCATCGTCCTGGTTGAGCTCTTCATCGATCTCCCCCCAGTCCTCGATCGCCTCCTGGGTGACCGACTTGCCCTCGAGAAACACTCCTGCGGTGAAGGTGTAGGCCGAGAGCTTCTGCCTGTCTGTCCTGCTGCCGCCGTTGTTGGTAGGACACTCTCGAGCCCAGTGGCCCTTCTGGTGGCAAAGCTTGCACTTGGTAACGTTCATGCGCTGCTCCAGGGTCAGCTTGGGAAACCTCCTTGGCCTCTGGTCCCGGTCACGCCCTCTGCCCCGGCCCCCACGTCCTCGCCCGCGATCGTCTCGACGGGCCTGAGGTGAGAGCCGAGGTGGTGGCGGGATGTTGGCCTCGGATGCTCGAGCACGACCTCCGAAGTATTCACGGTCCTTCTTTGCTGCACGCTTGATGTCTTTGTTCTGCTTCCAGGTCCTGTTGACTGGGCGCGTGGCGATAGCTGCTAGCGCCTCGTCGACCTGATCCTCGTAGAGGTCGAGGTCCTCCAGTTCTGCCATGATAGCTGCCTCATCCATCTGATCATATTCTTCTTCCTCGTCGTCAGTCTCTTCATCGAGATCCTCCAAGTCCTCGTCGGCAGCACCGTTGAAACCACCGGAGGGAGTGGAGGAGTAGGGCTGATGCTTATGCATGCCGTCGGCACTGGGCTCTTCGTCCTCAGTGCTGCCGGCAACGTGCATTGTGCCGAGAGAAACTCGACCAGGCAACAGGCGCTCAGTGCCAGTGGAGTCCATCTGCCTCAGCGCCCACGAAACACTCTCATAGTCGAGCTGTCCCCGCGTGAGAGTGCGCAAATTTTGGAGGCCTTGAGGCGTGAGCACAGCCCCCTCCTCGAGTAGAAGTCCCTTCAGCTTGGATGATAACCACATGTCGTGACCCTCGGCGTCTTGAAGTTGAGCCTCCCTTCGACTGACGACTAGCTTCGAACAGTGCTTTGCGTCCTGTGCGACGGAGATGGTCTCCTTCTCGTTCTCCAATCATCATGTCCATGCGACCAAGCACCGTCTCAAGCCACTTGTTGCTGCTGAGGGTTGCCTCTGGGATATCCTCGAACTTGGCTTGCATTCCCCAATCGAATCGCTTGAGGAACTTCTCTGCTCTGCGCCACACTTGTACGTCTGCGTTTGTGTCCCAGCGCGTCAGAGCTTTGCGCCACTGCCGGTAGTGACTCCAGCCTGGCCACGCTGGCGGGTCGGAGAAGTCTCCTCTGCCTGATGAGCCCCAGGAGTTGTGCCAGCCCCAGCTGTCATCGCGACTCCAGCTGTCGCTGGCCCAGTGGTGCTGTCTCCACCGGTCCGTGTTGACCTGATCCTGGTCGAGCTCGTTGTCCTTCGTGTTGCCGTCCTTCTCGTTCTTGTCGTTGGGATCCTTTTTGATGTTGTCCGCTGCTGCTGACCAAGGATCCCAAGTTCCTTCCCCTGGTTGGCTTGACGCGGCCGCCCTCGAAACGGTCGCCGACTGCATAGTCTCCCTGACTACTCCGGCGATCATCTCCTTCAGCTGCTCGGTCGTCAAGCCCGCGGTGGCTGCACTCGGCTGTCCCTCTGGCCCAGTGATCACCGCCCCGGCGAACCCCTCGCCGCTCTTGTCCTCGTCCCCTGTCATGCCGTGGAACCACGCCAGTCGGCCTGCTCGGCGCGGAGGTCGCCTCAGAGCCGCCGAGCTCCCGTGCTGCTCGCCACGCCGGCGCGCAGTCAGGGAACCCCTGGTCCCGAGGCTTCCACCGCTCCGCTACCAACTGTGGCAGCAGCAGCGGCAGTCAAAGGTTTTTAGACTTGAGCCAACGTGCGAACCACGGTGCACTCACACTGTCCTGCGTATGCAACAGTACAAACGATAGTACACACACTACCGCAAATCAAGGATATACGTCCACTAGCTAAACCTGTCGGTGAAAATATGGCACGCATTCACACTCGGACAACGACTCGAGTCCCAAAACCGTGCGGTGAGCTCCAATCCCCACCGACTCACCGCACGGTGTGGTCATCACCCCGTTTGGGGGCCCCCGACAACACCACAACGAGAGGCTGCCCCCACCGGGGAAAATTATCCTAGATGTTGATGCTGGTGGTAATCTTCCGACCATCTAGGAAGCCATAATATTTCCACCATTACCGAGATCTAGGTCATCTTCCTTCGATGGAAGCACACCACCGATAAAGGCTGAATCCTGTCGCGTCCTGCGGCGCTACCGCGCCCCATCGGTGCTTCCGCGTCGCCCTGCCGCGCAGAACTCAAACTTGAACGCCTTCGCCGGCGTCGCCGGCGCGCCATCGCCGCATAAACATACCCCATCTCAGGAAAAGGGGGGGAGATGAGGGGGAGGGGTGAATCCTCCTCCTCCTCCTCCTCCTCCTCCTCCTCCTCCAAGATGTGGGGGGAGGCCCGCCCTCCTCTCCGCTCTTCCGGTCTGTGCGCAGGTCTCGCGATGCCGGTGCCTGGCTTGCCGCTCCGTTGGCGCTGAGCCTCCGCCAGCGAGCGCTGCCACTGGGAAGTGGGGGGGATGCGAATCGGGGATGTTATTATTGAAGGGGCCCTGGGACACACAAGTAAATACACACAAATAACAGGATTCCCCATACTTTCCCACAGGCTCTGGGTTTCTGTCTTCCCCCCCACTTCCGATATTTTCCCATATTTTCCTGGGAGTCGGCGATTAATTGTGTCTGTGTGTTTTTTCCATCCTGAATTATTGTGCACGGTAGCCAAGGGCGACTCAAGCACGAAACAACGCTTATCATTATGAACACAGACCGAGCTCTCAAGCCATGGCACATCCGCCGCCTGGAGAACCGACGTCATGGGACCCCAGCCGGCGGTGGGCATGACTATATATTTCGGCCCAGGGGGGCCCGAATATGTGCGCATTCGCCGCCTGCCGAGATCCCCCAAGACTTAAGTCGGGCGTGTCCCCCTACAGGGGGGGATTTTCGACGAAAAATCAAAAGTACTCAAAAAATACTCGAACCTTAGCAAAAAATGCTCAAACAATAGTCCCCTGACAATTTTTTCCTATTTTGGAATACTGCCCCTGTAGAGGGACAGGCCCGACTTAACCCAAGACCGCTCTCCCAGGGGGTGGTTGTGGATGACTCCCCGCCTCTGAAGGGGGGAGGTCTCCAACAGCCGCCGGCGCTCCCGAAGGAGATGCGGCCAAGCCTATCGCTCGCCGTGGTCGCAGTGGACATGATGAGCCTGTTTCCCACCACCACCACCATAAGTTGGATGGGGGAAAGGAGGAGGAGGAGGAGGAGGAGGAGGGCGAGGAGGAGGACGAAGAGGAGAAGGAGGAGGAGGAGGAGGAGGAGGAGGAGGAGGAGGACCCCTCCCTCCAACGTATGGTGGTGGTGGTGGTGGTGAAAAACACGCCCATCAGGCCAGGCGCTCATCGGCCCGGCCTCTCTCTCTCTCTCTAGCGGGGCTGGGCGGCGGCCCGGGTCTCCCTTTAGGCTCGCGCTGAGCGCGATCTCGATTAAGTCCTCGTCGATGCCGACGTGTTCCGCAATCGCCGCCGACACGACGGACGCCACCTGAGACCCCAGGACCGCGAGGCGGCGGGCTCTGGAGGGAGCAGCTCGTGCCGCTCGGCGTCATCGCCATCAGCGAGCTGCGCTCAGCCGCCGCCGACCAGAAGAGCGCCCCGCCGACTGTCAGTTATCGAGCTTGGCAATAACGGTACAGCAGCATTCAACATCAAACAAGCCCCCAAGAGGCCACCAGAGGCCCCCCAGAACCCCCGAGAGGCTCCAAGAGGCCCACAAGAGGCCCCAGAATGCCGCCACGAGGCCCCCGCGAGGCCTACCAAGAGAGACCCCAACAAGCCTCCCAAAAAGGCCTTTTGTCCACGACCCAGTCTGGCCGAAGGCCGCAAAACACTACGTACAATATGGGCTGGCGTGATTGAAAACATCAGCAGTCAACCCTCCGCTGCGTAGGCTTCCCTAATCCGCCTTCGCTACCCAGACTCTGACTCCGCGTTTCAACAAAAGTGGGGCGGAGGTGTCTGCCTCCCAAAGGGGCGTTCGATTGAAAACATCAGCAGCCACGGACCCTTCCTTACCCATCGATCATGGGCCGTCTTCGGCGGTCTTCTGCGGCCTTCTGGCGGTCTTCTGGCGGTCTTCGGTGGTCTTCGACGGGTTCCAGCGGTCTCCGGCGGCTCTCAGCGGTTTCTGGCGATCCTCGGCGCGAAAATTGGACGGCTGCCTTTAACGAGGGCGCGCCGCTGGATGCCCCCCAGGGGGAAGGGTACGGGACCCCCCCCCCCGTCTCCCCTTTTCTCCGGTCCGTCGTCTGCGGACCGCCCCCCTTCCCCACGGTTTCCCGATCCGTCGTCGACGGATCCCCCACCCCCATCCCCCCGTTTGGGATTCGAAATGCGGAACCCCCCTCCCCCCCTTCACTCCAGAATCCTAGCTCCAGACCCCCAGCCGCTAACCCTAACCCGCGAACCTCCTACCAAAACACCCAGCCCCCCGACCTGAACCCTATTCCAGGCCCGCACCCTAATCCTCACCCTAACCCTTCCCCTCACTATCACACTAACCCTAGACCTAACCCTAACCCTAACCCTACATCCTAACCCTAACCCAAACCCTGCGCTCTAACCCCGAACCCCGAATCCCCAACCTCTAACCCCGAATTCCAGGCCCCCCTATGACCCTCACCCTAACCCGAACCCTTACCCTTAACCCTACGACCCTAACCCGCACCCCCTGATTCCCTAACCCTAACCCGAACCCGAACCCTAACACCTAGACGCTAACCACCATAACCCGAATATTAGACCTAATCCGAAATCGAATCCTACCATCCTAACCCTAACCCCCGTGATGCCTTAACCCCCGAACAGAACCCTAACCGCAGAACCCCTAAACCTATCCCGAACCCGAACCCGATCCCACTAACCCTAAACCCTATACCCGAACACCTACCCTGACACCCTAAACCTAGCACCCTACCCCCAATCCTAGCCTCCTAACCCGAACCCCCACGGCACGAACCCTAACACCCTAACCCGAACCATACCACCCTAACACTGCCCCCCCTAAACCGAGCCCTAACCCTACCACCTTAATCGTAACCCCCATAACCCTAACCCGAACTCTCGAACCCAAACCCTAACCCTGACACCCTAACCCGAGCCCGAGTCCTCCCGCCCCAAAACCTACCACCCTAACCCTAACACCCGAACCATAACCCTACCACCCTGACCCACAAACCTGAACCCTACCACCCAAACCTGAACCTTACCACCCAAGCCCTAACCCCCTAACCCGCACAGCCTTCTACGAACCACCTAACCCTAACCCTCCTCCTGACCCCTAACCCTAACCCTAACTCTAAAACCCTAACCCTAACCCCTGACCCTAAGCATAACCCGACCCCCCGAACCCTACCACCTTAAAGTTACCACCCAAGCCCTGACCCAAACCCGAATCCTAACCCTAACACCTTACCCCTAAGCCGAATCCAAACCCGACCACAATAACCCGAACCCCCGAACGCTAACCCTAACCTGAACACCCTAACCCTGACCCTACCACCCTGACCCCAACCCCTGGCCCGAACCCTAACACCCTAACCCATACGCCCTAAACCCTAACCCTACCACCCTAACCCTGACCCCCTAACCCTAACCCCAACCTGAACACCCTAACCCGAACCCCACCACTCTACTCTTAACCAGAACACCCTAATTCGAGCCCACATAACCCTTGCCCATTACCCTAACCCCTAAGCCTAACTCCTGACACAAACCCAACCCTACTGACCCCAACCCAAACCCAAGCCCCCGAACCCAAACAACCTAACCTAAACCCCCTCACACTAACCCTCACCCTAACATCCTACCCCTGACCCTAGTGCTAACCCCACCACCCTAATCCGAACACCCGAACCCTAACCCTAACCTGAGCACCCCTAACCCTGACCCTACAACCCTGACCCTACCCCCCCAACCCTAACCCTAACACCCTAACCCTTACGACCTAAACCTAACACCCTATACCTAACACTCTCGCCACAACCCAACCACCCTGACCCTGACCCCCAGTACCTCGGGCGCATCTCATGGAAGCGGAAGCACTGCCCCCGTCCCCCGGCGGTCCAGCGCAAAAGGGGGGGGGTCCTACCCCCCCCCTGGGTCCGAAATCCTCACCCGTTCCCCTCCCCGGCACAAGGGAGGAGAGGAGGGGGGGGGCGGTCCGAAACCCCCATCCCCCACTTTGAAAGGGGGGGAGTGGGGAGGGGGATCCGACCCCCCCCCCCTTGGAGGGGGGGGAGGGGAGCAGCCCCGTCAGCACACGACCCCGTTTGCAGTTACAGGGGCGCCCAGTGGCGAGCTTGCGCATGCAGCAGTGGGCCCATGACCGAACCTTGGTGGCCGGTGGCCGCGAGGCCCAGAGGGAGGGCGGGGAGGGAAGGCCGGAGAGGGCGCGGGAGGGAGGCACACGCAGACCGTGAGGGTCGCTCATGATCGATGACGGGCCTGGTTTTCCATCACCACCACCAGAAGTTGGAGGGGGAGGGGGTCCTCCTCCTCCTGCTCCTCCTCCTCCTCCTCCTCCTCCACCTCCTCCCGCTCCTCCTCCTCCTCCTCCTCCTCCTGCTCCTCCTCCTCCTCCTCCTGCTTCTGCTTCTGCTCCTCCTGCTCCTCCTGCTCCTCCTGCTCCTCCTGCTCCTCCTCCTCCTCGTCCACAATTACTCAATATGAATACTACTCTCCCTCTTCCCCTGATGACGGTTTGAAAGTATTAGCCCCCCCCGCGTACTGTTTTTTTACACACAGGATTCCCCGGAGTTGGGTTTTCGCCTGCATTTGTTTTCAAAATGCTGCTCTCGCTGAAGCGCCGGCCTCATTTTCGGGCCCCGCTCGTTCCGAATCGTGCTCCCGCTGCAGCGCTGGCCTCATTTCCGTGCTTCCGCTCGTTCCGAATCGTGCTCCCGCTGCAGCGCTGGCCTCATTTCCGCGCTTCCGCTCGTTCCGACTCGTGCTCCCGCTGCAGCGCTGGCGTCATTTCCCGTGCCATGCCACGGCATGCAATGCAATGCTAGGTTGATACTACGCTTTGCGGTGCTCTTCTACGCCATGCCATGCCGTGCTCTACAATGCATCGCGTACCCTTTCGGGATCATTGCCCTGCTCGACATCCGACTGTGCGAGTAGAGAGGGGATCTACGCCATGGTAAGGGATGGGAGGGAGAGATAGGATGTCAGATATGACGCGAGCGCACCTAGCTTGTCCTCCTCCTCCTCCTCCTCCTCCTCCTCCTCCTCCTCCTCCCTCCTCTCCTCTATATGGTGGTGGTGGTGGTGGTGGTGGAAAATAGGCCCATCAATCGAGCACCTGAGAAGGTCATCGGCCAGTCACCGAGCACCCACCACCGCAGCCAGGAGGGGAGGGGGGGTGCCGAGGGGCACGGGGGGCTCGTGGCCCCAGAGCTGCGGCCCAGGAGCCGACTCTCGCCCAGCGTCTCGTCTGACGGCCCCGGGGCTCCAGAGCACAGTCGAGCTGCTGCAACAAGGAGCGCTGAGCAAGGAACGAAGCCCTTTGACTATGTTGCTCCCATCGTACTTCAGGGCCACTTTCCATAAATATTTTCGAGCACCCAGAAGTGTCGAAACAGTGTCGAACGAGTATCGCCTCCCAGGGCCCGACACGTGAAAACCATTTAATTTCGGTACTTCCCTGGTGCTCGAAATTCTTTATGGTGGTCAAGGCAAAGTAGGTTGGAACATCATTACCCTTTGATTAGCACCAAAAGAGCCTGGGTGCACGAGGAGGGCTAGAGGAGCAGCCACGGACTGACCTGAGGAACAGCGAGCCTCCTCCGAAATCAAAGCGGTCCTGGTTTCAGCGGCTTGACTGTGAAGAACAGAAGAACCACCCTCCTAAAAAGCACCCTGGCAAGCGAAGCAGCCCAGTAAACGCACCCAAGAAAGGAATCGGACAGAGCAGAGCTGTTTCGTAAACGCCCAGAGCCGTTCAGCAAACGCCAATAATTGGGTAACCTCGGGACTAATTTCTGTCAGGGCCCCGTTCGTCAGGCAGGCCTAGGATGAGGATACACCGCTCCAGAGCGTTCCAGAACGCATGCAGACCGTTCCAGAAAGCCATGGGACGGCCGCGGCGCCAAGTACATCATCCACACACGCCGGCTCTCAGAGCTTCCCGACCAATCCTCATCAGAATGTATCCTCAACATGCCTTCGTCTTACTTTCTTCATGGCGACATCAACCATCCCTAATCTGAGCAGTGTTTATCCGACCCATATTCCCATTGGCGTGGCATGGGTCCCACTGGCCGGTTTATCCCGCTCGATGGGGATGTGGGCCGTTTCCTTCGGGTTGCGAAGGGCACATCCCCACTGGGGTGCTGAGGTGGCGGGGGCCTGGATGGGGATGGGTAAAGATATAGGGGTCGGTTAACCGATGCTGATATCAGCCATCAACCGCCCCATACCATTCCAAACCCGATTGAGCAGGGCAGGGACCGACCGTCCTGGCATTTCTATAGGCCTACCACGACATGTTCTTAGAACCCAAGAATGTCCGAATAACAAAAACAATCTTCCTAGAACATAAACCCGACATGTTGACATAATATTTCGTGCAAACCACAGAATGCTCTTAGAACATTGTTTGGTTCGCCTATAAGCACGCCAGGACGCTTCACCACTGCTGGACCCGAGCGCCGACCAAATCAGCACCTGGGCGACCCGTGGTGCCACTGGAGCGGGCCCTCTCTGGGAGCCGGTTGGCCGCGGAACTGCCGCGAGACAGTGGCAGTGGTGTCTGGTTTCTCAGGACTGCCTGCTGCTCGCCGCCCATTCAAGACTGCGATTGCTTCTCCCGCAAAACAAACGCACCCCCCTGCGACGAGCGATGGCTGCTCTGAAGTACACCAAGCAAACCGGGAGCCACGCAAGGACTAACCTTCAGCAGGCGAGCCCATATTATTACATATTGCGACGATCTGCGCCCGCCCCAAGACGGACTAAGGGAGCCCAAAGACGGCCTCCAGAGGTGCTAGACAGCCCAAGAGATATGAAATTCGAGGCCGGCTAAACCATGAGATCCTGGTCTTTGGCAAAGTAAGGAAAATTGCAAGTACGCGTATGACACAGTAGCACGAGAGTAAAATGAGTACGGATCGAAAGTACATATTTCACACTTGCGCGAAAAGCAAGTGTGAAATATATGCAACGCGGAACTGCAGATACGAACAAAATGTGCACCCGTCTGCATGACAAAATTACGAACGCACATCCAAAGTATGAACACAGTGTGAAACAAAAGACAAAATGCAAGAAGTACGAAAAGACAAACACAAACTACGACAAAAGTATCTCTCACACACTTTCCGTAAACTTCGGATTTCTGAGATTTTATACATCGTATTTCTACACGGCACATTCCTCGCACTCGTACTTCGGCGTAGTACTTCTTTTATTGCAAGAGGGATACTTTGCGTTCCTTTTGGCGGGGGTCCGGTGTAGCTGGCTGGAACCTGTCAACCCAAAAGCACCCCAACACTTCCCAACAGGGCCCCAAGATAGCCCCAAAGGACCCCGACCCAAGAACTTCCAAGAGGGCCCCAAAAGAGTCCAAGATAACCCCAAGACGGCCCCGACAGTTCGGACAACACGCGGTGACGCAGGCGTTTCCAGAAGGCAGGGGTCGGCGGTGACTCGCCAGAGGCACCTTCGACAACAACTCACAAGGAGTGAGGATCAGACGTTGTGGCGTGCGCAGGATAGAAAGGAAACCGTGGCCTGTATAGTATTGTTTCAGAGGAGGGGTGGAGATAAAGCGCTGGGGCGTGTGCCACACAGAGCCACGTAACGAAAACGTTGGCCTGAGCCTTGCGCGTTGGCTCACAAACGAAGGGCGCACTGGCAATCAGTCAAAACACACATACATGAGACGTCTCCAAAAAGAGATCGGCGATGAAAACACCACCCGCCCTCCTACATCCGCTCTGCTGCTGGGAACCTGAATATGTGACATCGCAGGGTGGGATGACGTAAAGTGGAGGCCAGTCCAGAAGAAACTTTCCGCAAGAAACCCAACCCTGAGACCCCAGGACGTCCAGCGATCTTGGGTGCGGGAGCGTCACGCCTTCCAGAGCAAGACCATCGAAATCCAAGAACCCCAGGGCACCCTGGAGGCAAACAGAGTGCTTCTTGGCATGGGCTTCCGCTGTGTGATGTCTCTAACGCGAGCTCGATGCCGAGTAGACAACGCCTGGTGGTGCGACGAGGACGTGCAGAGGAAGGAGGAGGGGAGGAGCAGAAGGAGGAGGAGGAGGAGGACGGGAAGGAGAAGGAGGAGGAGGAGGAGGAGATGCGAACGTCGCTGTGGAGGACGAGGGGGTGGCAGGAAGCAACTCCTGACAGGTGGTCGCAGGAACGCTGAAGGACCATTTGGCCAGATGAAAAAAAGGCATCTGGCTGAAGAAGGCCATATTCAGCCCAAGAGAGAAGCCGATTAGGCCAGACTGAGCGGGATAACGCCGGACTACGCGGGCGTATGTCGGATTAGGCCGGTTTTCCACCACGGATATACCAGCGCCAATGCTGTACTCAACCTCCCAGGAATTGCATCCTAAAAAGTGGGAGGGAAGAACTGTCCTGTCTTATTGCGGGTATTGATGTTGTATATTTATATTGGTAGTATGTTGCGCTCGGCTGCCTCGCCTAAGTCGGCGTTCTGTGCGCACGCGCTGCGGTTTTTGGCTAAAGTCAGGGCGACGCAAAAAATGGGAAGGAAAAGGGTGAACTACGTAGGCTAGCATACGGAAGAGGGGTCGCAGGAGGAAACATACAATGCGCGACAGTCCACTAAAATCCCCGCCCCCGGCCCCGATCATATCACCCCTCCCCTTCCCACATTCCATGCCCAAGTCCCCCACGAGGGCGCAAGGGCAAGGTGAGGAGGCATTGCAGTGCTGGCCGCAACGAGGACATCATAACCACTCTCGCCCAAACCCCTCTTCGCAACCTGAACATGAACTTGGCCCCGTGTCACGTAGGAGGACACACTCCTCCAACCCTGCTTCGTGGGCGCCCAACCGTTCCCTTGTTGTCGGTGTCTCCGAGCTTCGCGAAGCCTGCGTTCTGGATCAGCAGCAGCCCCTCCATCTCCTGGCCGAGGTCCGGCAGGCAGCACAGCGACTTGTCCGCGGCGTGCTCGGTGCAGGA